TGTCGTAATTCTCAGTTTTCCCCTTCACTTCACTGCTGATATTGTTAACTTTCTGTGGAGCCATAATATGCTATAATATAGTATATTATAAAAAGCCACAATGACAAATGTTTTAACACACTAACATGGACATTATGTTGTCTGAGAAAAAGGGCTTAGCCTGTAGGGTCACCCTTTGTGCCTGTGGCAAGACATGACGCATAACTCTCTCTCTATCCATGCAAACTTAAAAATGGAGCAAAGTTACGAACCCTGAGCAGATCTTTTGCGAACTTTGCTCCTTGGGTCTTGGAAAGTTCGAACGTGGAGGTCTTGGACCACTGAGGTCTTTCATCATCCAGAAGCTTCTCTGTCCCCCTCCCCAGACTCCTGTTCCCCCGGCCACGGACATTCAGCTTTCTGATTCCTCTCCCCGCAGGTTGGCTTTGCCTTTGTAAAGAACTTCATGTGAATGCCGTCACGTGTGTGCTCTGCTGCGTTTGGTTTCCGTGCTGGACGTGCAGCCTGAGCTTCGTGCTTGTTACCGCATGCACACACGCGTGCACTCGCTGTCACCAAGTGGATTCCAGCTCACGGGGACTCTGTAGGGCAGGGCAGAGCCGCTCCTCTTGGTTTCTGTGACTGAGGTCCTCGGTGTCTTCTTGACTGGCTTTAGTGGTCAGCGTGTACATTTGAATAATCATTGTATTGATTGAATTTCCTTGTATGCATGTAGATTTTATCCTATCACAGCATTTTGCTTCAAGATAGATCTTGAAACGTCTTTTTGATGATGAATGTGACGCCATTCCTCTTTAGTTTGTAATTTTTGGTATTGTCAATAAGATGGTCAGATTTAAAATGACCAATACTAGTCCATTTCAGCTCACTAATCTCTGGGATATGGGTCTTTATACATTCCATTTTGACAACTTCACATTTTCCTAATTTCGTCATTCGTACTTTACACATTCTGATTATTAATAGATGTTTGAAGCTGCTTCTTCACATTTTGAGTTATGCCCCATCAGCCAGTGAAGGTCTCGAAAGCTTTGACTACGTTGGCATCACTATGGTCAACTCTACTTTGAGAAGACTTCTTTTACATTTTGGTGATTTAGAGTGAGCTTTAGAAATCCCCCAAAAAAGGAGTTTGGCCAGTCATCAGGTCACTGGTAGATGAAGATAGAGTTTATTTTTCAGATTGGCCATTTTAAATTTTCAATGGGATTTCATGCCTTTCTTAATTTTTTTTTCTTGGTGTTTAAAAATTATAAGAGAGCGGGAGCGGGGAGGGAGGGGAAAAATGAGGACCTAATGCCGGGGGCTTAAGTGGAGAGGAAATGTTTTGAGAATGATGAGGAAAATGAATGTGCAAATGTGCTTTACACAATTGATATGTGTATGGAGTGTGATAAAAGTTGTTTGAGCCCCTAATAAAATGATTCAAAAAATATCTTTAACTACAAAGATTTATAAACAAAAAAAAAAATGAGAGAGCTTGTCTGCATTTCTATGCTTGGGCACGATACTTACAGTACTTTCACAAAGAATGTTGCATAAGATTCTGTACATTGAAATTATCTAACTTTAAGATATCAGCATTTGCTTTAGAAAAGACAGTTCACTGATAGCACTTTACAGTCAAATTATTTTTTTGGACCATGAAAGGGCTTTTGAAATAGCATCTGGTTTAATATTCCAGTAGACATTTGTTGACTATAGAGATTCACTTACTTTACCACTTCAGACTAGAAAAATCAGGATCTCAGTTTTTAACTTATAAAGGGGGAAGAACACTTTTCTTCTAACTGTTGAGAGGCGTGAGGGGCACTCATGTAACACATGCTGTCTGACATTGGTGTTCAGAGGTTTAGAATACTTAATGGAATAAGTGACTTGTGTCACTTCAAAGTCATGTTTGTCTTTTGTCAGGCCAGGAATGTTTTGAAGGTCTAAACACTGTGGGCTGACTCTTAAGAGTGGTTTTTACATTTTTAAGCAATTGAAAAAATACTGACCAGAGAACAATGTTTTGAGGACATATAAAAATTATGTGAAATCCAAGTATCACTATCCATAAACAAAGTGGAAGTGGTTTTACCGTATATACTTGTGTATAAGCCGAGTTTTCGGCACATTTTTAGTGCAGTTCTTGTGGTAAAATTAGGTGCCTCGGCTGATATTCGGGTTGGCTTATACTCAAGTATATACAAAATTTGTGTATGTTGGTGCGTTTAGTGTTGCTCCTTTCTTTACTTAGTGTCTGTGACTCTTCTTGTATTATAGTAGCCAGGTTTAGTGGTTGAAAATATTATATAAGCCCTTAAGCCTATAAAATTTACCTTTTAGCTCGTTTACATCAAATGTTTGTGAACATTGGTCTAATGTATCCTTATATTTTCTTTTTTTTTTAATTTTGTACACAGGGTAACCCCACAGTTATGGGAACACAAGTACATATACTCTCTGCCGCTGCTGAGGCTAATTGTACTGTATCTCACCTCTCAGTTTTCTGAGAAAGGGGTAGGGACTGCTGTTCAGGTGGAACATTGGCCCTGAAGCGAAAAACAAACATCTGTGGTAGAGGTCAGAAGGGAAGAGGAAGACATTCCTTTAGCAGTCAAACCACTCAGTCTGTCCATGCTACTTCAGCTGTAAGCAGAACCAGGAATACTCTTGTTTGCTTTTCATGAGGGAACTTCAAAAAGTCCATGGAAAAATTCCATTATCTTTTAGTTATTTTAATATTTTCTGGTCTATAAGGTATTTGCTTTTTTAATTTTTCTATGAACGTTTTAAAGAGTTCTCCTGCATCATACTTCTGAAATGAAAATGAATTTAGAAAAAAAATAGCTGTGACATGCTTTTCCCTTAAAAGAGAATCCCTTTATTCCTTGCATTTAAAACTTTTTTTAACTAGTCCTACTATGAAATTGATTTATGCAAAATTTTCCAGAAATGTAATTTTTACTTAAATTGAAATACTTATACTCTTATGTGTAACAATTCTCAAGCAAAGGAGCAAGTAAAAGTTTTTTAAAATCCATTTAAAGCTCTCCTCGCTATATTGTAGACTGTGTGGATTCTCCTATGTAGATCTGAATTAATTATTGAATCTGGAAATTTGTTAGCATGAAACCGGGCTTCTGATGGAACAAGGCTTTCTTCCTCCCTCTTAATCCTTTTTGCATGGAAGCAATATTATATTTGATTTAGGACTGTTCTATAGTTAAGGTTTTTAATTCTGTATCTTATCTCAAGTAGGTACCTTAGAGGGTTTGTTGTTTTTGTTTTTATAGGAAAGGAATAGAGTATGGGAAGTGTATATACTCTCTAACATTGTGTATGACCAGTTGATTGTTGAATCCAATGATCCAACTAATAGTGATCCAGTGATCAACTAGTAATTAGTTGAGTCAACTAATAATGATCCTAAGCATATCAGAGTAAAACTGTGCTTCCTTGGGTTTTCAGTGGTCGATTTCTTGAACATACATTCCCAGGTTTTTCTTCTGAGGTTTTTCTCCTGAGTTCTGAGTGGGCTTGAACTTCTGACCTTTCTGTTAGTAGCTGAGTCTGTTAATTATTTGCAACATCTAATCAAAACCAAACTAAAATTTCTGTTGTAGAGTTGATTCTGGTTCATGGGGGCCTTATAGAATAGACTAGAGCTGCTCCATAGGGTTTCTGAGGCGATAAGCTTTACAGACGCAGACAGCCACATCTTCTTCCCACTCAGTGTTGGTGGGTTCAAACAACCTATCCTCCAGTTAGCAGCTGAGCACTTTAACCACCGTGCAACCAGGGCTCCAAAATTGACTATTAAAAACAACTGCAAAAAACCTTAATAAACCAGGGGCTTATTTTGACTCATGCCAACCCCATGTGGAGAAGGTAGAAATTTCATGATTGTGAATGTTTGAAAGCAGATTGGCCCGACTTTTCCTTTGAGACACTGTTGTGTGAATTCTAATCGCCACCTTTCAATTAGTAGTCCAGCGCAGTAGTCAAATAGTCTTTATTTCCATGGGATATTAGAGAAATAACGATCATCTGGCCATCAGAAATGTCCTGATGTTCTTGATAGTTACTGGGCACAGATGTTTGGCTCCTGAGCAAGGTGCTTTTTGGCTGAAGGCCTCTGCTTAAAAGGTACAGCAGTGCCTGTGGTCCCCAGGGAAGCAGATGGATGGATTTAATGTTAACCAGCGGTGTGACAATAGAAGGTGCTAGGAAGAAATCCTTCCAAAAATGCTTTGACACTTAGTCACGTGTACTCTGTTAAAATGAGCCCTAAAGGGGTTCCCTTACTTTTTATACTTAGGAAGCTAAGGCAATATAATCCATCATGATAATAACAGCTTATGTTGATACTGGACATATTGACTATATTTTAAAAAGTGAGAGCACTGTTTTTCCAAAGATGTTAGAATTTTATTAAAACTATGATTCAGAGGTGAACAACTAGTGATGTCTTAGGCCATTTTATTATTGTAATAAAAGTGCTCTGTACTGAGGATTATTAGTACTGACCCAGGTGTAATTGGGAAACAAATTTGGTAGTCAGAGACTTTAATACAGATATGAAAATTCAAAACCAGTCGTCATTGAGTCAACTAATAACCTCTCGGCATGCTCCACAGATTCCCACTGACTAATTTTCAGAAGTAGATCACCCGCCTACCTTTCTGCTGAGGCACCTCTGGGTGCCTTTTAGTTAGCCCTCAAAATGTGTTACCTGTTTATGCCACTTAAAAGACTCCAAACATAAAGAAATCCTTTAGAATCCCTCAGTCCCTCACATCGCCCCTTATTTAGCATTTTTAATTTTAAAGAAATTGCTAAAATTCTAAGTAGTCTATTACTATTTTATTTCCAGGTGATTGTCAGAGGAAGCAGATAATTTTCATTGTGTTTATGGCTTTTACTACTTTTGACATTTCATTACAAAGCTGGTGCTTTTCGAAAATAGTAAATGTGGTTTAAACCCTTTTCCCCTTTTTTTCTCTTATAAACAGGTTGAAAGGATTGTGGACAAAAGGAAAAACAAGAAGGGGAAGACGGAATACCTGGTGCGGTGGAAAGGCTATGACAGTGAGGATGACACATGGGAGCCGGAGCAGCATCTTGTGAACTGTGAGGAGTACATCCATGATTTCAACAGACACCACACAGAGAAGCAGAAAGAGAGCATCATAACCAGGACAAACAGGACCTCTCCCAACAATGCTAGGAAACAGATTTCCAGATCCACCAACAGCAGTTTTTCTAAGACCTCTCCTAAATCCCTTGTGATTGGCAAAGACCACGAGTCAAAAAACAGCCAGTTATTTTCTGCCAGCCAAAAATTCAGGAAAAACACAGCCCCATCTCTCTCTAACCGAAAGAATATGGACCTAGCAAAATCAGGTATAAAGATACTTGTGCCTAAGAGCCCCATTAAGAGCAGGACAGCAGTAGATAGCTTTCAGAACGAGAGCCCTGAGAAGCTGGATCCCACAGAGCAGAGCCAGGACACTGTGATCCCGGAAGTGGCCACAGAGAAGCCCGTTGGAGCTCTGTTGGGCCCTGGTGCAGAGAGAGCCAGAATGGGGAGCAGGCCTCGGATACATTCACTAGTGCCTCCGGCGCCTGGCCCAGCAACGGCTGCTATGGCCACTGGACTCACCGTTAATGGGAAAGGTGAGTGTTACAAGCTGCTTAGTACCTGGGATGGCTCTGTGTCCTTTCACTGCTTGCATGGTAGTGATCTCTCCTATACGGTTGCTGCATCAGAGAGCAGCTCCTTGGTGAAAGTGTGGTACTGCTAATGCTGTCTAGCAAATGTTTACCAGGAGCCTTTGGGAGGGAGATTTCGTTACCAGCGTCGTTTTTTCCCCTTAATACATTGGCATTTGTCCTTTCCAGTCACATTAGCCCTCTCTGTCTGCCTTGCAGTCTCCAGACTGTGCCACCACATTGATGCGCCTTACATAGCGTCTTGCTCTCAGTAAGTTATGCCTAGTGTTTTCATATAACACACCTACCTTCCGAAATCATCTACCTCTACCTGTATCTCTCAGACATGACTTTACATCCAGAGTTTTCTAAGTGTAACCAGTATTGGATTAAAGATTATGCACCTGATGTTACTTGTCTACCAGATAGCCAGAAATCCCTCTTCATGAAGAGATTGTACCTCATGGGGCCTTCAGTGGTCAGCCCTTAGGGTGCCAGGGCTCCTGTCTTCAGGACTGGGGTCTGTTGAATAATCGTGCTGTGAACAGTGTTGTTTTCATGCTTGTCCTACCTCCTAGATTCTGCATGTTGGTTGGTTTACCACAGTATCAGCATAGATGCTTCCTTTCCTCATTCTTTCATGCTTAGCTGGCTGCCAATTTTATACATACCTAAACAATGTCACTGAACAATTTTTATATAAATACTGATTATGAAGCATTTGCTGTGTAAACCTTAACTGAAACCGTGATAAAATATATAACAAACAAAACTATTCACTATTTTCTAATCCAAGCCCACGGCACCTATCATGGTTCAAATCTTGATAACTTCCTACCTGCCATGCATTTCTAGTTAGATTTCTTGTCTCCTACCTTTTGAGGGCTCTTGTCCATTTGTTCAAACCCATGGTGGAGTGGCAGCAGATTGCACGGTTGCCAATCTGGCTTCCTACCGCTGCTTTAGTTAGTAGGTATGCCTGTCCCTAAGCATTTATGGTTCTACCTATGCCTACTTCTCTCCCTTCACCTCCACAAGTCACCCCACCTGCTGCTGGCTGACTCTGTTGAGAGTACATTCTTTTCCTGATGAACTTTGATTCCTCGCTCTGGTTTGGGACTTCTCCTCAGGTGTCCTCTGCTCTGCTCCCCTTGCACTCCATAACGTGGTATTATAATTATTTTTTACCTCTATCTGTCAACTTCAACCCAAGTCTAGTAGGATAATACGAAGCAAGATAAAATGGTTTTGATTTGTTGTGGAGATCTTTTTCTCTAAGGAGAAAACATCTGAGAGACTAACCATCTTGCCGTGGTGCATTTAACAGCATTATATTGACCTTAACTCTTGTACAGCAAGGAAAATGAATGTAAATTAAATCTGGATAGTAAACTATCATCTTTGATTTTCAGATTATGCTTTCCCAATGCCACCGCTCTCCCCTAGTCCAAGAGTTCTGCATTCACCAGACCATGTGAACTTGTTTACAGAAATGACCACTGTTCACCCTTTCTCTTCTCACATAGACAATTTCCTTTAGCCTAGTTGTAGATGAGGGATCTGAGAAGTTCAGATGGAAGGGACTTTGTAAATAACCCAACAGCACTCTTTACCTTAGAGATAAAGGAGCTCCAGCCCAGAGAGACTGTGGTGTTCTAGAGAGGATCAGAGGCAGAGAGAGAATAAGAGCATGTTTTCCATTACTGCTCCAGTATTCTTTCTTACTGCTTCTGTAGACAGAAACACCTGAATCTTTACAGGATACTTCGAGGCTGTTGCCCTGCCAGGCTTTGGTGCTACAAACATAGACAAGCTCTGGGACAGGCATTGGTAAACTCCTGCCCATGACCTAGCCCTAGTCCACCACTTGATTTTGTTTGGCCAGCAAGCTTTAAAGTGGCTATTTTATACCTTTTTTTTTTTTTAAGTTTGTAAAAGAAGAATATTTCATGGTATGAAAATAAATTCCAACTTAAGTATTCCTAAGTAAAGTTATATTGGAACACATCCAATTTTATTTATGTATTTATTGTTTTTGGCTGTTTCATTGCTTTTGGCGATTGCTGCAAGGGCTGAATTGAGTCATGGCAACAAAGACTATATATATAGTCTTCAAATCCTGAAATACTTACTCTGGCTATTCACAGAAAAGATTTCCCCTCATGGACTGTGGAAACTCATAGTCCTGAGATGGTATCCTCCCTGTCTCCAGTCCCCTTCTTAAATATTATTAGGAATGCGAGAAACATCCAGAGGTACATAGTCTTGCATTACCGTTCATTAAAGGTGCATGCACACCTTTTTTATGAGGGAAAGCCCAGTTTGATTTTCAAAACTTCCCTGACTCAGAAAGGTTAGAGCCAAGTTCCTTTATCCAGTAAAACCCAAAACACAAACTCCAGCCATCGAGTCAACTCCAACTCACGGGAGCAGATAAGACAGAGTAGAACGCCCTCCTGTCGGGTGCCTGGTGGGTTCAAGCTGCCAACCTTGCAGTTACTAACGCACTATGCCCTTAGGGCTCATTTATACAAACCAGAAATTCAAGCTTTAATTATCCCCCAATCAGGTTATCCTCTTGTCCCCTCCTCCCCCAACATGGATGGTTCTTTCAAAAGAAGACACTATGCGTTCCTTCAGCATACCCATTCTGTTCTCTGAAGCACACATTCCATCAAGACCTGCGTTGCTTTATACTTTAGATATAAGGAGGGCAATGGCTCCTGTTTACATAGAGAGTTGACTCTCCCCCCACTTTTAAAAAATCATTTTATTGGGGGCTTGTACAACAGTTATCACAATCCATACATACACCCATTGTGCCAAGCACATTTGTACATTTGTTGCCATCATCATTCTCAAAACATTCACTTTCTACTTGAGCCTTTGGTATCAGCTCTTCCTTTTTCTCCACTCCCCCGCTCCCCCTCTCTCACGAACCCTTGATAATTTATAAATTATTATTAGTTTTCCATGTCTTACAATGACCGATGTCTCCCTTCAACCACTTTTATGTTGTCCATCCCCCAGGGCGGGGGTTATATGTAGATCCTTGTAATCTGTTTCCCCTTTCTCCCCACACCTTTCCTTTGCCCTCTTGGTATCACTACTCTCATTATGGGTCCTGAGGGGTTTATCTCTCCTGGATTCCCTGTGTTTCCAGCTCTTAACTGTACCAGTGTACATCCTCCGGTCTAGCCAGATATGTAAGGTAGAACTGGGATCATGATAGTGTGGGGGGGGGGAGTATTAAAGAACTGAAAGCTTGAACATGATAGTGGGACAATTGGAAAGTTAAAGGTAGCAGATGGACATTGGGCCTCTACTGAAGTACTCCCTCAATGCAAGAACACTTTGTTTTATTAAACTGGCATTCCATGATGCTCACCTTCCTGACACAGTTGCTGAAGACAAAGCAAATGTAGTGAAGAAAGCTGATGGTGCTAGCTATTAAAAAAATAGAGCGTCTGGGGTCTTAAAAGCTTGAAGATAAACAAGCGACCATCTAGCTTAGAAGCAACAAAGCCCACATGGAAGAAGCACACCAGCCTGTGTGATCACGAGGTGTTGATAAGGTCAGGTGTCAGCCATGAGAGAACAAAAAATCATATCATTGTGAATAAGGGTGTGTGGAGTAGAGACCCAAAGCCCATCTGTAGACAACTAGACGTCCCCTCACAAAAGGGTCATGGGGAGGAGACGAGCCAGTCAGGGTGCAGTATAGCACCGATGAAACAGACTCCCTTTTTAATTACTCTTCCTATATAAAAATATGTAAGTGTACATAGCGTGCTTTGTAACACACAAGCATAGAGCCTTCAGTGATTGTACCTTACTTTGTGGAATAATTCGCAGATTGAGTGGGTAGGAGTACAGCTGTATTCCCATGGCCTTCAGACCATCTTTCTCCAATAGCCACCATGATCTTGCAATTCTTTTATGCGTATGTCTCTTACCTAACATGGATGGTCAGATCCAGCCATGAAGCATGCACACCTTCCACTTAATAGGAGGAAACTCAGGAGAGTTTTTAAGATAGTGGAAGGCAGCACCTTAGGGCTGTGATCTAAATCAGGATTGCAAATTAACAAGAGTAACAGCATTCCTCCCCAGGAGCCCCCGTCTCAAGTGTTCTTGAAAGAAGCACATGGCAAAAGCAAATGGTACCTTAGACAACTGTTCCACTTTCAGTATCACTGATTAGTTAGACACGTCTTTTTGTTTCCTCCACTAGAATGTGAGCTCAAGAAGGGAGTTTGCTTTTCATGTCCAGAGTAGTGTCTGCCACATAGTAGGTACATACACTTGCAGATATCTGTGGGTGCTTGATTGCAATAGAACTTGTGTTCACTGAAGATGGGCTCTAATGTGTTCTTCTCTGTAACCTTGCTCAGACTAAATTGGAGGGAGGGAAGACGAGCTATGAAAACAACAGAGAAGGTGCATCAGATACAGAAATATTCCAGAAAAACCACTTACACTTGGAGTCTATCTTCCCTGATTGAAGAGATAAAGTCTCGTTATAATCATTATAATAGATTATATAATATTCATCATAATTATTATATATTACATATACTTGAGTATAAGCTGACCCGAATAACCACCGAGGCACCTACTTTTACCACAAAAACTGCATTAAAAATATGCTGGAAAACTCGGCTTATACTCGAGTATATGCGGTAACAATAATACTAGATTTCTGGCTTACACTCATAAATCTTAAAGCAGTTTATTTTTATTTTCAGGATTAATTTTAGTTATATAAGAGAACTCATTTGTTTTTCTAAGACTAATTGAATCTCAGATATTTGTGGAATTAATTGGAAATGGACCATCTCCTTTCAAAACATTAATCACATATGTGCAACAATGTTTTTTGCCACCAAAAATGTTTTTTGAGTATCTTTCTATTACCCAACGAATGAATTTCTTGGAGCATTTTAATACACATACGATTACTT